CGTGTGTGGATGGTATTAAGTTTTAATAAAGGTTTAACAAATTGATGAGCAACACGACTTACTTATATAATGATGCTTACAGAACTGATTTCTTAACATAAATTAAGATTAAAGGGACCGAGCAATTACAGAGTTCGAAAGAGAGCGAGACTTCGTACATGTGTATGAGTGCTTATGACATTCAAATAGAAGAGAATTAGCATAATCTTAACATAATCTGCTTTGACATTGCTATTGATACCCTGACTAATGTATATATGAGGTATATGACCGAACATCCCGGCTGCCTTGAAAGAATTATCTTTCAAGAGACAGGTAGAACAGCCAGCTTATGTACTGGCCGGCAACAGAGCCCAGAGGGAGTGCGAATATATGCGACACGAACACGGTCATCTTTGCCACTCACAACAGGCTCAACACGCCCTAATTTCCAGTGTAATGGCGGTGTGTTGTCCTCATGTATGATGACCATAGAGTCAACCGTGAGATTTGGGGAAGCCGAAGTCCACTTTGTCCTAGCTCGAAGCTCGTTCACATACTCCGCAGACCAACGACGCCAGAATTGCTGTTTAACAGCTGTGATCTGCTCGTAACGATCCAAGTTGGAGATGTTGTTGGTGATAATCTCACGCTCGGGCAGAGCGCGCGGTGCATCTCCATTTAGAAAGTGTCCTGCAGTGAGAGCGCTGAAGTCGTTGGGATCAGATGATAGCGGTGACAGCGGGCGAGAGTTGAGTACTGCTTCTATCTCAACGTCTGCGGTGTTCAGTTCCTCAAAGGTGAACCGGGTGTTAGCGAGGGTACGCACCAGCAGACTCTTTGCGCTCTTGACAGCGGCCTCCCAAAGACCGCCAAAGTGTGGAGCCCTAGGCGGAATGAAATGAAAGGTTATCTCTTCAGAGGAACAATATGATAGGATAGCATCTTGAGTGCTAGTGTTGAACATGAACTTCTTTAACTCGAGTAGCTTGTTGGATGCTCCGACAAAATTTGTGGCGTTGTCACAATAGATGTGCGATACTGGTCCACGACGGGCAACCATGCGTTTCAACGATTCCAAAAACTTATTCGTTGAAAGATCTGACACGATTTCAATGTGAACGGCCTTTACGGCCATGCAGACATATATGGCGATATAGGATTTTGTGGGACCCTTGCCACGTATTCGAAGATAGGTGTTCACTGGACCGCAGAAGTCGACTCCAACGTGGCGAAATGGCTTGTCTGTGGATAAGCGCTCAGGTGGCAGGGAACCCATGACTTGACGAAGTAGAACTGGACGATATCTGACACACTGTACTCGAAGCGCCCGAATGTATGAACTAGTTCCGTTCAGCCAGTCCAGAATAGAATTACTTTCGATAATTGCAGCAAATGTAGACTTCCGTTTTTCAGCATCGATAATGTCCATGTCCAAATCATTGTCGAATTGTTGGCAGGGCCATTGAGTCTCGGAATCACGCAGAAACGCAGGTCCTGTAAACCTAATTGATTGCTGGAGCTCATTAGCTGGGCATCCACGTGACACGATGTCAGCAGGGTTGAATTTTGACGGTACATGTCTCCACTTTCCATCTGCTGTTTGATTTTGTATAATGGATACTCTATTTCCAACAAATGTTGACAAGGTGATAGAGTACAGTACAAGACAATCTGCGAATCAGACCAGAAATGCGCGCTGTGCGGCTTGCCGATGAATATGTTTTTGACAGTTGTATATAACTTACTCAGAAGTTGAGCTCTGCTTAACTCTAATCGAGGAAGCGTCAGCTTCTTGACAGGAGCCACCCGAGATTTAGCAGTCAGAAGCTGAACCTGGACATTGCCATACGAGTCCGTGGAACGCACATATACGCAACAGCCGTAAGCACATATTAATGCGTCACAGAAAGCGTGCAGTTGTATGTCTGTGAGCTCAGCTTGCAAGCAAAAACGGGGTACTGAAATCGGAGACAATTCCTTGAGAGACGTTACGCAGTTTCTCCATGCTTGTAGAAGTGATGGCGGTTTCATCCCAGGCGAGTTTTAGCAGCCATAGCTCCTATATGATGATTTTCGAGACGATAATGATTGGTGCCAGCAATCCTAATGGATCGAACAGAGAAGACGCAGTCGAGAGAATAGTCCTCTTTGTGACTGTTGAATACAATTTTTTGGGTTTAAATTCAAATAGTAGCACATCACGACGTTGATCCCAAGCTACGCCAAGTGCGCTAGTGACAGCGTTTTCATCCAAGTTTAAGTCCTTTACCGATTCGTCGTTCCTGACGGCAGGATGATTGGAGTGCCACTTAACCAATGGGAAGTGTCCTCGGCGGAGTATCTCGGTGACCTTGTGTTTGATGTTCTGCAACTCGATGAGCTCGTTTGCTCCGCATAGCAGATCATCAACATAAAACGATGATTTTACAATGGATGCGCCAATGGGAAACTCGTTCACATGCAGATCTGCCAGATATTGCAAACTGCGAACAGCTAAGTATGGGGCCGAGGCCGTTCCATACGGCACTGTATTTAGCTCAAAGGTCTGCAAATCAGCTTTAGGGGATGCTCTCCAAAATACATATTGAAATTTCCGATCCACTGGGCTGACTAAAACTTGTCTATAATCTTTTCGTAATGTCCGCTGTGATGGCGTAACGAACCAATCGAAAACGAAGGAGAAGTATACACAGATCTTCTTGGAGTGTTGGGCCAACGAGAATCAAATCATTCAACAATGTAGTGCACGAGGCGTCAAACACGACTCGTAACCTCGTTGATGCACTGCTGGTGAGCTATGTAAAAAAGTGGCTCATAATCTCGGATTCGTCACTAATGTCATAAGGCCGAGATCCTCATATTCTTTCATGAAAGTTACATATTGCGATTGAACAGTAGGCTGCTGACTGAGGCGCCTCTCGAGCGATAAAAAACGACGACGTGCAACGTCGCTTGAATTGCCAAGGCACATTGTATCTCCCTTGAAAGGTAGACGCACAACAATCCTGCCGTTATTCATCTGTGTTGTCCTTGAATACATATCTTCACAGAGCCGATGTTCTGGATTGATTGACTTTGGAGAATTTTCTAGAGCATCAATGCTCCATAGTAATTGAAGATTTTTGTCAATTGACTCCTCCACAGAAAGCAAGCACGTTGACGACTGCTTAGCTGACTGATGACGATACTTGCCAGACACAACCCATCCAAGCAACGTTTTCTGAAGGACTGGCAAATTGTCTCCGAGCTTAATCTGTCCAACAGCCAGGCATTCGAAAAATGCCTCGGTACCGAGAAGGAGATCAATCCGACCTGACCTGTGGAAAGTTTCGTCCGCAAGTGGTGTATTCGCGGGCAACCTCCAATCTGAGGTGTCGATTTCCGAATCCGGCTGGTAGGCAATGTGAGACGTTATGCAGAACTGTAGTGTTACTTCAAATGGTGACAAACGAGATTTAATTCCAGTAGTTGTACAGTTGTTAATTTTAGTCGAGGTCTCCCCTATGCTGCGGATTTCGAAATGATGCTTATCACGGCGTAGATGCAGCCGTTGGGCGAATTGATCAGTTATGAAATTGACTTGGGAACATGAGTCAAGCAATGCTCTGCCTTGTTTATACGCCCCTGATAAATCTCGCACTAGTACCTTTGCAGTAGCAAGAATTATTTGTCCGCCTGGCGATTGATTCATATGCGAGTGCGTTGCAGCAGGAGTCGTTGTTGAGGACATTTTCGCTATGGATGATGGCGATGTAGACGATGATGATGCAGGCGGTTGGCCAAAATGCAGAAGCGTGTGATGGCGATGCTTGCAGCTTCGACAACGATTGTTAGACGGACACTGAGCCATCCGATGTCCTAATTGAAGGCAATTAATGCAAAGTCCAGCATTTTTTACGACTCCGTACTTGAGTTTAGGACTCATGTCTTGAAACAGAGAACATTGTACAATTTTATGGTCGGAGCTGGAACAAACAATGCATGTTGGATTAGTAATAGCAAATGATAATCCCTTGCTAGGCTTGTACACGTGTTTTTGTTTCGAAGAATCTGCCATTCGATACGATGCAATGCCGCTTGATTGCAGAAACTGACAATGACGTTCCAAAATAGTTGTGCAGTGAGCCCAATTTGGCAATGTACGTAAGTCAAGAGACTCATTCCACTTGTTACGAGTTTGCTGGTCACATTTTCCGATGACGATGAATATCAACATGGCTTGGGCAATATTTGATCCGGTACCCAATGACGATAATGATGAATACAGGGCTGACGCATTGTCCAGCAGACTGCGCAGCTGATTTCCAGTCCGGCTTGTCGACTTGAGGTCGACTTTGTAGATTGAATAGTGATTCTATTGTGTCTAAAAATGTAAGTGTAGGATTGTCATAACGTTCACTTAACGAGCAAGAGCCTTGGGATAATTTTCCTGAGTCACTTGGAATGCCTTTACTGCCTGTAGGGCAGGGCCCTTCAAGCAATTCAGCAGATGATTAAACTTTTCAATGTTCGAAGGAGAGTACTCACGACCGATAATCTGATTGAATGATGTAATGAAGTTTTTAAACTCTGCTCGTTTCCCATCAAATACAGGCGGAGCCAATCGAGGAAGACTAGATGGCGGCGAAGAGCGAATTGGAGCAGGGTTAGAAAATGAGGTGCTGTGCAGTACATCATCCAGTTGGGATTGGATGGACAATTTGATACTCACATATGTGTCTTCCACCTCTGCACGTCCATTGTCCTGAGGATCTTCCAATTCAATTTCAGATTGTACTTCCAAAACCTCCTTAATGTATATCTCCAACATGTCCAAGCGTAATTGTAGCTCAACGTGTGATAATCTTTTTTCACTGCCATCGACCTCAGTAGACACTATTACGACATCCTCTAAGTGTGCGATATTGCGTTTTATGTTCGCTCGCTTACGTAAGTTTGCTTGAAGAGTTGACATTATGTATCGAGAATGTTGTGATCACCGATATGACCGAGCGACAGTTTTGATACTGCCAAATTTTCACAGCCTAACTTTAACCTGATAATGTCACTCTCACCGATGTGAGCGAGCGACAGTTCAAATGCTCCCACTGTTAACAGAACAGCTAAGACTTATAAATGTTGCGCTCACCGATGTGAGGGTCGCTTGCAGTGATGTAGCAAAATGTAGTGAACAAGCAGAGGCAGCGAGCTTCCAGCGACGAAGCAACGGTAACGAGAATGCAGCAGCAAAGCCAAGGTAGCGAGTTTCCAGCGACGAAGCAACGGCAACGAGAAAGGAGCTGTGAAGCAAAGGCAATGAGCAATCAAACTCAGAGCGTATCCAGCGCGAAGTAACGGCTACAAGAATGCAGTAGCGAAGCGAAGGTAGCGAGTTTCCAGCGACGAAGCAACGGCAACAAGAAAGAAGAGCTGGCCAAATGTTGCTGTCGATGCTGTATTTTGCGAAGAGTTCGATAAAACCTTTCTCCAACGAAATGTTGTGCGGCAACGATATGCCGTCAATTTCCACACACTAGCCCCAATGTTGGGCGCCAAAATGTTGGATCAAAAGCGTTTTTTTGACCTTTTGAGAATCTTATCTCAAGTGGGCGTGTGTGCATGGTATGAAGTTTTAATAAAGGTTTTACAAATTGATGAGCAACACGACTGACTTCTATGATGATGCTTACAGAACTGATTTCTTAACATAAATTAAGATTAAAGGGACCGAGCAATTACAGAGTTCGAAAGAGAGCGAGACTTCGTACATGTGTATGAGTGCTTATGACATTCAAATAGAAGAGAATTAGCATAATCTTAACATAATCTGCTTTGACATTGCTATTGATACCCTGACTAATGTATATATGAGGTATATGACCGAACACCGGTTACTACATCAATTATCTGATGATGTTCGTTCGCTCTATCCCTTAGCAAGTCACAAACAACAATATGTATGTCGACGATGTACTTGCGGGAGCCCATTTCAAATCAACAGCAGGTCAGGCAATTGCAGAACTCCGCAAAGCCCTTGAATCTACCGGGTTCCCCTTGCGAAAATGAACATCCAATGAAAAGGACTTGCTAAGACCGATTCCCAAGGCCCACATGCTTCTCGCCAACTTCTTAGAGATCGAGAACTCCTGTTCGGCGAAGACTCTCGGGTTTATATGAAAAGCTGGCACCGATGAGTTCTTTTTCGCTCCATCCGAGCTAACAACCAATCAGTCCGTCACCAAACGAGAAGTCCTTTCACAGATTGCCAAACTGTTCGATCCAGCAGGTTGGTTGGGT